AATGAATGAATGGAAATTCAAGTTAAAAAAATCTTTTTTAAAATAAATCCATTTAATAGGTATTTGAATCTGAGCATTGTGCAGCAAAAGCCAGAATTTCATGGTTATTTAAATGTTATTTAAAGTTTTAAAAGCCAAATTCTGCTTTTCAACATTCCCATCTCAGTGTACTTCTGTTTTTGAAGAAAAATTATAACCAAAATTTCCTTAATAAATGAAAATTGTCATTTGTGGCTTCTTGTTGTTTTTGAGTACTGTAGCATCAGAACTGACCCATAACTGACATTCCAGTGGGTTTTCAGTTGCAGAAGAGGAGCGTACAGATCTTTCTCCCTTGAAGCAGCTGGTAGATTCTAACTAAGTACCTTTGATCACCAACTCAACTCCTTATCACTAGGTAATCAGAGATGCAATAATTAAAGGAGCCCTAGGGAAACTGAAGTTTTAAACTCTAGGTTACTAACCAAAAGTTGATGGTTTGAACCCACCAGCTGATCCTTGGAAGAAAGATGTGGCAGTTTGCTTGACAGCCTTGGAAATCCTATAGGATTTTGTTCTATAGTGTGGCTGAGTGGGAACTGCCTCTCTAACAATGAACTCTCTCTCTGTGTGTGCATGCGCATATATGGAAGCAAGTTGAGATGACCCTGGAGACACTCTTACATTTAGGAGAAGGGCTCATCAGCCTAGAAACAGAGATTGCTTGATAGTATCAAGGAAAAAATGAGGATCTACCCTTGAGGGTCCTGCAATGTATAACTGCCCAGTTCTATCTTATTCAGCATGAATGAAATTCCCTCAAAAGGGAACTTGACTTAGCCAACTGGGGCCAGGGCCTACCTCAGGACAGATAAGTAGACTCATACAACAGGAACATGTTCCTGGAGGGCTACCGGCTATTACAGGAGTGAACAGAATAATCAGAGTGGGCAGCCTCCCTAGGAGCCCTTACCATGCCACTTCAAGTTCCTTGAAAGGAACGGACAGAGGTGCCTTGGTCTGATGATGTGTCAAGTGAAGATGCTAGGAGTTTCATAAATTTTGCAGTTATTCTGACTTGATCTCATCTGTTCAGTATCACTTATTACTAAAACAAATATATTAGGTGATGTGCTCATGACATTTACTTGTTTAGAGGGATTATAAATGTTGTTGTTGTCATGTGCTGTCGAGTTGCTGGCAACTCAGAGAGCCTATGTACAACTGCCCTAAACCCGGCTCTATCCTTGCCAATCTTATTGTCTCTGACACACCTACCCCTATTACTCCAGTGACTGAATCAATCCATCTCATAGGGGTCTTCTTCTCCTGCACTGTCCCTCCACCTTCCCGAGCATGAAGCCCTTCTCCAAGGACTGATCCCGCCTTGCAACATGTCCACAGTATGTCAGATGAAGATTCAGAATCCTTGCCTCCGAGGAGCAGCCTGGCTTCACCCTCTCTAGGAGTTTGTTCTCCTAGCAGTCCATAGTATATTCAATATTCTTCTCCAGTACCACAGTTCAAAAGGCATCCTTTTATCATATCTAGTCATTGTCCAGCTCTCTGATGCATAGTAAGTAATTGCAAAGACTATGCCCTGTATCAGACTCACCTTAGTCTCCAGACTGACTTGGTCTTCAGTACTTTGGAAAGGTTTTTGACAGCAGATTTTCCCAATGCAATTCATCTTTTCATTTCCTGGCTGCTGGTACCAAGAGTGTTGACTGTTGAGCCAAGCAAACTGAAGCTGTCAACAATCTCAATCTTTTCACCATCTATAATGATGCTGCCAATTGGTCCAGTGGTGAGAATCTTTGTTTAACTGATATTGAGCTTCAATCTTTATCGAAGGCTGCAGTCCTTGACCTTCTGCAGCAAGCACTTCAGGTCCTCCTCAGTTTCAGCAAGCAGGGTTGTGTCATCAGCATAACGCAAACTGTTGATAAGTCTACCTCCAATCCTGATGCCACACTTCTCCTCATAGAACCCATCCTCCCGGATTGGATTATCTGTTCTGCATATAGATATGAAAAGATATGGAGATAGGACACACCCTTGATGCACACCCTCCCAAATGTTGAACCACGCAGTTCTCATGACTGCCTCCTAGTTGAGATATAGGTAGGGTACTAAAACTTACAGCCATTATATTGAGGCTCTCATTTGTTTGACCTGCCTTCTACTTGAAGAACTACTGTAATAGCATCGAAAGGGGCAACTTTTGATGAGGCTGTGGAGAAACTGGACCCTTATTTAATATTGGGAATGTAAAATGGTGCAGCCATTATGGAAGGCAGCATGGCACTTTCTCAAAAAGTTGGAAACAGAAATATCATTTGATCCAGCAATTCTACTACTGGGAATATACCCTAAAGAAACCAGAACTGCCACCCAAGCAGATATATGCAAACCCATGTTTATTGTTGCTTTGTTCATGACAACAAAGAATTGGAAACAGCCCAAGTGCCCATTAACAACCAAATGGATAGAGAAGTCACACAATGCAATATTATGCAGCACTGAAGAACAAAGAACTCATAAAAATATAAAAAATGGGTGACATTATGCTGAGTGAAATATCTTTGTCACAAAAAGACAAATACTATATAATGCCACTGTTATGTTATAAAACAAGACTGACAGGGGAGTTGGGGGGAAACTAAGAAAAGAGGGGATAAATGTTATACATGGCACTGAAACAGATGAGCGAGAGAATTATATAAAACAAAGATATGCTTAGGGATTATTGGTATGAAAAGAGTCCAGAATAAGAGCTGCATAGTAATGTGGTCTTGGGGTGGGGGCCTGCATAACAATGAAAGAACATTTTTTTCCGAAGAAAAAAAGCAAGTTGGGCGGGGGCAAGTGGGACATGGAGGAAAATGTGCAACAATGAATGAATGGACATGTAAGTTCTTTATAAACTTAAAATAAAACCTAAAAAAAGAAAAGAAGAGGCAACTTTTCCCACTTTTGGTATAATCTATCTGGTCATATTTGCACAGTCTTCATGCATTGAATGTCTGAAAACAGGAAAAAAGCAAAAGTCTGTGCAAACATACTTTATTAGTACCAATATACAAAGTATATGATAAATACTGATTACTCTTTAACTTTTCTGCGTAGTTCCATTTCTGAATACATAGGCTAGGAAAAGCAAAGCAACAAAAATAAATTCCATACTCTAATGGCTGACATTACATGTCTTATTTACAGAGAGTCAATAATGAAAGTAATTACTATTAAAAGAAAATAATTACTCTTTAAGTGCCTCTTTTGTTCAGAGACCTTTTTTCCCCTCACCCATAACAACAAAGTAAATGTAATGCCATGTGTTATTCTAGAAAAAGATTTACTTTTTTCTTCTCATAAACTTTTTTCCTTCTTTCAATAGCTCTTCAACATATTCCTTCTCTTCTTCCTTTCCTGGCTCCCAGTCAGAATCTTCATCTGTTGGCTCATATTTTTCATCCTCATCATCTAAAAAGCTGTCATTCTGGTCACACTCTTTGGGGTTCCCATTGTCATCATCTTCATCTAAATTGCTTCTCACTGAAAAGATTGGGAAACAACACATCAATTGCTACTCAATCTGGGATGACAGACTGGGATAAAAGGCATAAAGTGTATTTCTGCCTCAGAAGATCTCAACTTCCATTCAGACATTTCTAAAAGCAGTGTGGGAAGAATTATTATTTATCTGGAAACTCTGAACTTGGGAGGAACAATGATAGCTATGGAAAAGCATTAGGTCTTTGGTTCACATGGGTCAACCTTGACTCGATGGCAATCAACCACCACCACCGCCACCACCACCACCACCTCTATTTGGGAGCTCTGGTGGCAAGATGCTGTGGCATGTGGTTCAAGGCCACCAGCTGCTCTGGGGGAGAAGGATGGGCAATCTTCTCCCATCATGCAATTGACTGCCTCTTGGAAACCACTGGAAAGTTAGCTATGGGTCAGTTTCGCCTCGATGGTACACAACAACCAACTACCAGCAGCAGCAGCAGCTTTACTTTTAACATTTTAGCAGGATGAAGCTCTATGCATAATGGCTCCTTACTAATGCTATTAATCCATATTCAAGCTGTCCTGACCTGCAGTGTGGAAGACCAGATCTTTGCTGCAGTTACTTTCTGTCCCTCCCTGTCAGGTGGTTATATTTCCCCAGCTCCAGGAAGGCAAAAGAAACGTTTGTGGTCCACTCTCAAGCAGAAGCTTTAAGGGTCTTTCTGAGCTTCTGCCACTGTCAATTTTCCCTCTACCAGAGAAATCCTATATCTGATAGAGCGTCTGATTCTTTAGGCTGTATTCTGTGTCAACCACAGTGGTAACATGAGAGAGAAATAAACCTTTGATGCTGAAAGGCACTGAGATTTAGGGACCGTGTATCATTACAGGAAAATCCAATTGGCACACAGATCAAACAGCATTTTCAGTACCTTGGGAAGTTTCATTTCATGAATCTAAGATAGTCTTAATATTTATATTTCAATAAGAGTAAAATTCCTATGGTAATAGGCACTCAAATTTACATATTTCTAAATCACATTGAATAGTCAATCTCTAATTTAATGTTTTCCTCTTCCTGCTCTGCTCTATTTTCTTTCCTCATTGAATAACAGAATTGATTCAAATGCATCAATAACAGATTCTAGAAATGTGGAACATGTGAACAACAAAACAGCTGTGAAGATTCCATATGGAAATATTCTGAATGACAAAGAATAATGCCTACAATATTTCTGTATATACTTTGGTGCACTCATGATTTATAGATAAAACATAATGAGAGAAATTTATGGGGAAAAATTAGAATGGTATCCAATATATTTGTTTCTTAGTATCACTACTCACTTCACAGAGAATTTACTTAGGATCATAATAATGAGGTAATGGTAAAATCCAAATAAAATTAGGTAGCTCTGGTGGCTGAGTGGCAAGAAGCTGCACTGTGATTGGTGTGAGGCCACCAGCTGCTCTGCAGAAAAAGGATGAGCAGTCTCCTCCTATGTGATTAACTGCCTCTGAAAACTCACTGGAGTGTCAGCTATGAGTTGGCTCCGACTCAATAAAACACAACAACAAAAAGGGCATGAAAAACCCACATACGCCAACCTTGATTTTATCTTCACTTGGACAATGAACAGGCATCTGAAACCTAAAATGTCTAGAACTACTCTGGAGTCATCTCACCCACTTCTGAACAGCTTCCAATTCATAGAAACCCTTTTAATTATAAGCTAAGCATTTGCTCATTATCCTTCCAATGTAATAAACCATATGAAAAATTGTATTCAAATCCTGCTGATGAGCTTTAAATCTTGCTGAACTCTGGAAATATTTAGAAATGTACTGAGTAGGCTCATTTGTGGAGACAGTGAGCCACAGCCAATAGAACTGCACGTGCTTCCTCACAAATTGTGATGTCCACCAAACCAAAGCTTGCATTTGAGTACATGACAGAAAATATGACAGGATACATCTGAGTATAAGACTTTTAACAGTCTGGAATCTACAAACCACCTACCACAAAACTCAGTGAGTTGCTGGGCATATTTAATTCACTTTATTTTACATAATCAGATCTTCCTTCATGACCAGTGTGGGATGTGTGACATATTTTTGTGTCCCTCTTGTGTCCATTTACAGCACATGCTTGTGCTGGGGGGACATACATATATATGTTTGTAACTGAGAAACATGTTCTGTGGTGCCAAATCATGGTGCTTAGAGGGCAATGAAAGAGGGTGTACATACTGGAAGTGCAAATGCAGACAACTTTTGTTCATTTGGTTTTTGTACATCAAGACAAGCCTATGCCTAATAAGTATATGTAGAGCTTCTTATATTATTTGGAAGTTGTGATTTTGGCAATGATGTAATTTTCAAGTGAATAACGCATTTTTTGGGGGTACAATACATCCATACAAATCATTCAAGACTTTTCAATTTTCATGCCAGCTACTCCTTCCTCATCTCACTTTGAGATGTTTTTCAAGCATAAAATACACCATTCCCTACCAGCAATCGCTCAGCAGTCAGTTTACTGAGGGCCAGGAAACCAAAATAGGAAAATATTCTTTTTTTTATGAAGAGTAAGCAGGATTCCAAATAACAGAGGGTGGCCCTAACAGGCTTAATTTTCTTTAGCTTCAGTTTGAATTTTCTTATGATGATGGTCTGTACCACAATCAGCACCTGGCCAAGTTTTCACAGCTGATATAGAGCTCCTCCAATGATTCCTTCCACAGATGCCAACAATCTGATTCCTGTGTAGACTCAGGTGAGGTCCATGTGTGCTTCTCTCCCCCTCCCCTTTGGTTAAAAAAAATTATTCTAATAAAAGTTTACATAGACTTTGGATTTCCATTAATTCATATTTGCACCTTCCTCCCTCCACTCCCCCCTCCAAGTTTGCTTTTCTCTTTGAAAAATGAAAAAAAAATACAAAATTCATTGTTAAACACCCACTCAACTACGCTTTCATTCTCTTTCATTCTGGACTCCTGTCATGACAATAATACCTATCATACATTCCTCCTAAATAGTTCTCTAGATCATCTATATCAATGCAGTACACATTATTTATCCCCTCTTAGTTTTCCCCCAATTCCAATGTCAGTCCCATTTTACAACAGTGGCACTATGCAGTATTTGTCCTTTTATGACTGAGATATTTCATTCAGCATGCCCTCCAGGGTCACCCATTTTGTGTATGAGTTCCTTGTTTTACAACATAGCATAGTATTCCATTATGTGAATATACCACAACTTTTCTAGTGACTCATTTGTTGATGGACACTTGTTTCCAACTCTTTCTTATTGTGAACAAATATGCAATAAACATGAGTGTGCATATATTTCCTAGGGTGGCTGTTCTGGTTTCTTTAGGGTATACTCCCAGTAGTGGAATTGTTGGGACAAATGATATTTCTATTTCCAACTTTTTGAGGAAGTGCCATACTGCCTTCCATAGTGGTTGTACCATTTTAAACTCCCATCAACAGTGACTAAGGATTCCAGTTTCTCTGCAATCTCACCAGCATTTGTTGTTTGCTATTCTGCTAAATTTTGCTATTGTTACTAGGGTGAGATGATATCTCATAGTTGTTTTGATCTGCATCTTAGAGCTAGGGATTTTGGACATTCCTATATGCGTTTGTTTGCCATCTGAATGTCTTCTTTGGTGAAGTGTATGTTCATATCCTGTGCCCATTTTTCAATTGGGTTGTTTTCCTTTATCTTGTGTTGGCTGAATATTTTATAAATTCTAGGTATAAGTCCCTTATCAGACATGTAATTACTAAATATTTTTCCCCAGTCTGTGGCTTCCCTTTTTACCCTGTTGGAGAAGTTTTTGGATGTGCATAGGGATTTGATTCTTAGAAGGTCCCATTCATCTATTTTATTCTTTCCTGGTTGTAGGTTTTTCAGGATGCTTGGAAGACTGTTTATGTTGTGGAACAGACTTTTAGAGTTCTTCCAAGCTTTTCTTTAATGATGTGTATAAGCCCTTGGTTTTAGTCCTAGGTCCATGATCCACGATCCACTTTGAATTGGTTTTTGTGTATGGAGAGAGGTGTGGATCTTGCTTGAGTTTTCCAATTTTGCCAACACCATTTGTTAAAAAGGTTGTCATTTCCCCACTTAACCAATTTCATCTCCTTGTCAAAAATCACTTGACCACAGGTAGATGGGCTGATTTCCCAGTTCTCAATTCTATTCCATTGATCTATGTCTGTCATTGTACCAGTACCACAATGTCTTGACCACCATGGCAGTGTAGTAGGATTTGAAATCCGGGAATGAGATGCCTCCTACCTTGTTTCTCTTTTTGAGGAGTGCTTTCCTTATTTGGGGCCTTTTTCCATTCCAAATGAAAGTGGAAATGCCTTTTTCATCTTGGTGAAGAATGGAATTGTATTTGTATTTGGATTGCATTGAAGGTGTAAATTGCCTTTGATAATATTGTCATTTTCACAATATTGAGTCTTCCTATCCACGAGCAAAGTATATTCTTCCATTTCTCCAGGTCTCTTTTTGTTTCCTGTAGCAATGTTTTCTAATTTTCTTTGAATAGATCCTTTCTACTTCTGGTTAGATTTACTGCCAAATATTTAACTTTGTGATTAGCTATTGTAAAGGGTATTGGTTTTTTTTTTGGTTTTTTTTTTTTTTTAGCTCCAGCTCTATATTCTCTTTGTTACTGTAGAGAAATCTAATTGCTTTTTGTATGTTGATCTTGTACCCTGCCACTTTGCTGAACTGGTCACCTATGTCCAGTAGTTTTCTTGCTGAGCCTTTAGGGTTTTCTGAGTATACTATCATATCATCTGCATAGAGATAATTTTACTTCCTCTTTGCCAATTTGGAGACCTCTTACTTCCTTTTCTTGTTTTATTGCTATCGCTAAGACTTCCAATACAATATTGAATAGGAGGGGTGATAGTTGGCATCCTTGCCTAGTTCTTGTTCTCTTCAATCTCTCTCCATTCAAAAAATGTTAGCTCTCAGGTTTGCATATATATTTCTTACTAAGTTGAAGA